AGTCTCTGCGCTGTCTATTGCTGATTTTACACCCAACAGCACGAGATTTCACTTCGTTAAAGTATTGAAAGGGGACGGACGGACGGACACATTAATCTATTGCAGGCTGGTACACTCAGTTTACAACTTCGTTCCTACCAGTATAACAATGATACATCTATATAACTACTGACTCAGTGCTGAACTATTTGTGAGATTGTGTATATAAAGGGTTCAACGTGAGCATATTCAGCATTATATCACCTTTTCGAAGGGATACAAATGCAGATGTTAAAATACCATAATTTTTCTTCGTCATGTTGGGTGTACACAGACACCCAAAGTGCCCATGCCATTATAGTGCACGTGTGTGAATGGTGAATTAAATGGGGGAAATCTCTAAACCCCTTGCTAGCATTGCTAATGAAGATTCGTCGCTGCATGTAAAATAAAAGTAGCTGTATCTCCAAGAAGGGGCTGAGGCTGATAAGTATATACACGGCGTGACATGGAACCATAAGCCACGCGTGAAAGTCTCTGTGCTATGCTGGTGACCATATTTGCATAATAACATTAATAGGCTATCCAACTGGATGTTTGCTCTTCCAGCAGGTCATTGCGATTAGTACATTTAATATTTTTAGATATGAAATAAGCAGATAAAAATAAAGACGCTGACGTCGTAAGCCCAACGTACTGTCAACTAAACGGGAGCAGCCAGGAATATAGAAGTATAAAAAGTATGAAGAAACGAGCAACAAACGTTGTATGAAAACTTTATTTTTTACAGTGACCTTGAGATATGTCAAACACATTATTGTGTCCACTTGTCAACGCAAACACAACAGCTTTTTTTAAAAAAAAATTGATGTGATGCGTTGCTGTGTACATCTAAATAAAACGTATTTCTGTCTGAAGTCACAATTCATTATCTCGCAAAACATTTTTTTTTATAAAGCAGAATTTTGTCTTGTGAGCAATGAGCCAAGTCGGAGCCAATTAATAAGTTAACTGGTTCTTTGTTCTCTCGCTACATCGCAGCGTGCTGTGCTTATATAAACACTTCTGGGTGGGTGGGGCATTCCAACACGGAAAAAGATCTAAAAAAGATTCCTCCACATAACTCACCCAACCCAAGGGAGCGCTGAATCACGAGCGCCACCTACGTTACCAAAGGGTTACAATGCAGCCACGAGTCGGGGTGGAGGCTTTGTAACATGCAGCCCTTTCAGTCAAAACCACGCCATTCGCCAAAATAGAGGGGGTTTTGTGGGTGTTAGATCGCGTAGATATACATGTGTCGTTAAACCCGCCACCACCCCACACAGCCAATTAGTAAGGTTTGTCACGTAAACAGAACATGCTAATTCGTTACTAGTACAGCACACCGGTGTGTTGGAGAGTCAATTGCACAACATTTACAATTGGATTTTTTTTTTACAATTGTGGATTTTACTCTTGCAACGCACCGATGTGCTATACTAGTAACAAATTGGCATGTTCTGTTTGCGTGACAAACCTTACTAATTGGATGTGTCGGGTGGTGGTGGCGGGTTTAAAGACACATTTATGCGATCTGACCCAAAAACCTTTATTATGGCTAATATTGGTTGCGAAAGCCTCCGTGTTAAACTAACCAAGCCCTTGTCGACTTTGTTCCTCAGTCCAATTCTATTCTCATCCCTTGATAGACCAAGTTCTGATCATAATTGTTCTTCTCTTTAACAGAAATATGTGTGTCCCATTGCATAAAATTATGTATTCAGATTTGAAAACCATCCATTTTGGATATGCGGTATATATTTCTTCCGTATTTTTTTCATCTGATATTTTTTTCTCTCTAAAAGTAGGGTTGTGCAGGGCCATTTCTGTCGATTGTACTTGTTGTACCATTTCATCCGTATTGTACAGTACCATGTTTTCCATTTTCATGACATTACTGTACTTACAAGGCACAACAAAAATGTTGAACGGGATATTTGATGAAATATTTACTAACCAGGTGACAGTGAGAGCATGTGACACGTTTACTTTGCAAGACAGACCTGATTTAAAATACTTTTATTTTGCAAGACAGACCTCATTTAAAATAAGTTATGACAACCAATTTTATTATAGTATTGTGTAAAAAAAACCCCACTGTCCAGTCATATATCTCCATTCGGAATGTGTCTGTGTGGACAACAATACTGAACACCAGTTTTTATCCCAGTGTAAGAATAGCCACAACAAACTGGTAGTTGGCCTGTTTAACAAGACAATTGGACAAAGATCCATTCACATACATGGCCTGTTTTTTTAAATTACCTATTTTTTTAAAGCTGCTGCATTTTCTCAAGCTACATCTTTCAAATATTTGGGCATTTTCGCTGTTGCTACATAGAGGGTTTGTATTTCACCTAATTTTGGCCAAGAGGAAAAGTATTTAGATACAAATTAAACTTAAGTATTTCTGAGTCACCACGTTGTGAAATGGCATCTCCAACTTATGTCACAATCTACTAATATACCCTCTCGTTTCTCTGAAGGGTTGTTTATTGGAATAGCTTATTGCCACATACTATTCAATATATATTGTCATTGATGAGTGTGGTCAAATTGGTGAGATAGCATTTATTAAAATAGCTTTTTAAAAATTTATCTTAAACATGCTACTGAGAAGCAGTAAAAAAATTTCAACTGAAAAAAACATTCCAAGCAGGACCTTAAGATTAAGTAAAGCTTAATTGGGTAAACATTATTTAACAGCAGGTAAGAATCTATTTAGAGTAAAATGTTTACTTTTGTTGGTTTAAAGTACACCTTAAATAAATTAAAAGTTGATATTCTATATTTTTTGCATGGTGTACATTTGTGTAAAATAGTAAGTGTGTACTGTAAAAAGGATTTCAGTGTACAAAAGGCTAGTTTATGAAATAATCCATGGTTAATTCATGAGTTTCCATTGGGAACAATAACAAATAAATATTGCAAAATTGTATGTGTACGCTGAGTAATGAAATTATTTCTGCTTCATGGCCTACTGGTGTAGATGCACTCTAATGTATTGTGATTATGCATTACAGTACAGTATATTTTAATAGTTGACCCCTGATTAGAGCTGTCTGCGATTGGATGTAATTAATATGGTGAAGACGATGCTTCAGGTATCAGACTCATTACCATCATACATCAAGCAGCATCTACAGCGTAATCCTAACGATGACGCTGTGGTTGAATACTAGAATCATCAGCAGCATGATGATGATAGTGATAATAATAATACTGTGGTTTAGTGGATACTCGTCATCATCACCACCACCACCATCATGCCGCATCAGCAGCGCGATGCCAATGATGATGCTGTGGTTGAGTACCAGAATCATCATCACTATCATGAGCAGCATGATGATGATAGTGATAATAATAATGTCGTTGAGTATCCTCGTCATCATCATCACCACCACCACCACAAACATCATGCCGCATCAGCAGCGTGATGCTCATGATGATACTGTGGTTGAGTACCAGAATCATCATCACTATCATGTGCAGCATGATGATGATAGTGATAATAATAATACTGTCGTTGGGTATCCTCGTCATCATCATCATCACCACCACCACCAACATCATGGCGCATCAGCAGCGTGATGCTCATGATGATACTGTGGTTGAGTACCAGAATCATCATCACTATCATAAGCAGCATGATGATGATAATAATAATACTGTCGTTGAGTATCCTCGTCATCATCATCACCACCACCACCACAAACATCATGCCGCATCAGCAGCGTGATGCTCATGATGATGCTGCTTTGGTTGAGTACCACAGAATCATCATCACCATCATCGTGCTGCTGATCGTGACGATGATTATAATACTGTGGTTGAGTAGTAACATCATCATCATGACCATCATGCAGCAGCAGCAGCAGAATCAGTGGCAGAGCGCATCGCGAGGAATGATTGACACGGGCCGAGTGCGCTGCAGGGGTTAATTTGGGAGCAGGGCGTGGGCCAATGGGCGGCCGGCGAGCGCAGCTCCGCTTGTTTACTCCGACGTCGACGGAGGGGACAGAGAGGAGGAGGAGGAAGAAGAAGAAGAGCCGACAAATGAACGTTCTCTCTCCTCTCGCTTTACCTTATAGCAACGGACGGTTATCGGGCGACGACTAACGTTGAACAGGACGAGATAGAATACGACAACGAGTAGAATTTAATTTGCGGTAATTTAAGCGATTACGGTGGAATATTTTTTTTCTTCCTTTTATTTGGGTGGGTTGGCTGGCTGGGTGGGTTTGGTGGTGGTGGTTGTTGTTGTTGGTGGTGGTGATTGTTGTTGTTGGTGGTGCGAGTATGGGAGGAGAGTCGTTTTGTAACCGTGACCCGCCACCCTCTGGTAGGCGGGAATAGAGAAGAGAGAGGGGAGGGGACACGGTCAAATCCTTCATCCCGTTAAAAATACATCGTAATCAATTAATGTATCATATCTGGGAATATTAATTTACACGCTTGATTCGTACATTTTTGTTAAAAAAAAAACAACTGGCGTTTTTTTGTTGTGTGTGGGGGTGGTGGGGGTGGTGGTGGGACTCGCAACGAAGAGGACGTGGAATTTTAATTCGTTTTTTCTTGCTTTTTTTTTTCCCTGTGATTTATATAGAAATAAATATATATCGCTATCTGGTGTCATTACATAGGCTTGTGGAGGCGACCGCTAGCTTACTGCATAGGAGGAGGAGGAGGGAGTTGCGCTCAGAGGGGTTTATAAATACGTGCCGGGGCGAGAGGATTTCCCCCAACCACTTTAGCGAGGGGCCCGATTCATTTGGAGCACGTTTTCACGTTTTCATTCCGTGCTAGAGGAGGAGAGAGGGATTTCTGTTCCTCCTCCTCCTTTTTCTTACCCTTTCATTATTTGTTTTATTCCTTGGGAAAGGAGGGGAGGTGGCTCCTGCTGCTGCTGCTGCTGTTGTTGGTGTGTGTGTGTGGAGGGGGGGTTAGTAAGGGGGAGGTGGGGTTGTGGGAGACGAGAAGAGTAGTGGTGGTGGTAGTGGTGGTGAGTGGATGTGAATGTTGCTGCTGGTGGTTGTGATGGCAGCGAAGGTGATGATGGTGTTTCATCAAAATGGGCACCGCGACGTGTAGCAGCAGTAGCAGCAGCAACAGCGGCGGCGGCGGCGGCGGTGTCGGCGTGAATTTGTAATCTCGACAACGACGTCTGGAACGTCTGCGGCGACGACGACGACGAAGGAGAAGAAAGGGAGGAGGGGAGGAGGGAAGAGAGCAGCGAGAGAGAGAGCGAAGGGGGGGGGAAAGGACGACCAACGCAGACTTGGATGACGACCATTACGTGCGAGTGGATGTCTTCTTGTTGAAAGGAAGGAGCAGCGGGCCGAGGAAGGGAAGGGGGAGAAGGCGGCGGCGTGTTTTTGTGGCTATTTTGAAGAGATTTATCGTGGGTTGGTGGGTTTTTTTTGGTGTGTTTTTTGGAAGATCCTCCGCGATACATACCCACGCACACGTACGTGCGTGTACACGTATTTCTGCGTGCGCGCGCGCGTGTGTATGTATATTTAGACAGTGCATACAGTATATAGTGTATTGAAGAGTGTCATCAGAAGATTTAAATAGCCCTACAGAGCTCGCCGTTGACACCTCTCCAACAAACACCACCCACCCCCCCCCCCGGATCCAATGAAGAAGACCAAGCGACCTGGGCAACGGGTGGTGGTGGTGGTGGTGGCCGCCGCTCTGCCGGGCCCCTCTGGGCTCATGGAGACCCACAAGGACACGGGGGATGGAGGAGGAGGAGGAGGAGACGACGGTGGTGGTGGTGCTGGTGGAGGATGGATCGGCAACAGCCACGGCGGCAGTAAAAGAAGGGGACCTCTTTACGTCGCCTTGCTTGTGCTGCTGCTCATGGTCTTAGCCAACGTGGAACCCAGCTCCGGAGAAAGTGAGTGAGATTCACGTGTGGGGGGGTGGGGTGGGTGGGTGCTGACATTCTGCCACACACACACATTACAACACACCGCAGCCTTGCATTTTGCTAACAAGGAGCGGAGAAAGAAGAAGACGAGGTGGTGGTGGATAGCGTGGCGCTTTATTTATTTATTTAGGCCATTTTGTGCTGGGAAGGACCCAGAGTCGTCGTGATGATTGCCATGGCCCCTGTGTGCGTGTGTCGTCTTTGCTGTTTCTCTTCCCCCACCCACCGTCTTCCCAAGGATTCTCTCTCTCTCACGTTTTCCCACCGGTGCACACTTGGAAAAGATTTGACCACGACGACGTTGATGTTGTTGTTGTTGCAAGCCCCGTCCAAAATGTCCGTTTGTTAGGAAAGATACAATGTTTTAAAGGGTGATATTTTTTGTGTGTAAAAAAAATAATGCCAGTTTTTGTTTGCTTGTGTGTTACGTGTTTCGTATTTCGGGGGGTGTGTGTGTTTCCATTGTTGTTATTGTGGCCACTTTGTGTATTGCCGGCTTGTAATAACGGTTTAATTGTGAAACGCCGCAGCGTTTTTATTTTATGTGCTTAAAATGCAGGATGTTTGTTTTTAGATAGACGTCCTTGCTCCACGTGCACCGAGGATGGCCAATGCGTCTCGTGTACGGCGTTTTCGCCAATTCAATAATTCATTCAAACGTTTCAGATGTGTGGTTATTTAGAAACTGACCTCGTTGAACTCAATTTGTGCAGTATAAATGCTTAAAGAAGGCGTGTGTGTGTGGTAGTGTTGGTGGTAGCGTTGGTGAGAAGTAGAGAATAGAATGGGTTCATTTCTAATTTTATATGCGTTTGCACTTTCTGTTTTTACATCTTTTTACACAATACCGAGCAATTCAAACCTGCCAAACCAGTTGCAAATGTGCACGTTGTTTGGACAGGTGGGAAATGTGATGCTATGTGTAAGCACAGCCTATAACATCTTCTACATAGCTGGACTGTATTTTGAATTCTTCTATGCAACATTCATATTGCTTCGAAGTAAACACTGCCTCATGTCAATGTTTACACAAGTAGGAAGTAGTATAGACTTCCTATATCGCAGTATAAGATGACTTCAAAGCCGAATGCAAACAAACTCATTTAACCAGTCTATTGTACTTGAAATTGCACTCAGACTGTAATTTAACGCCGTTGTTATTTTACGCTATTTCCCTGTTGGATTGTTTTGTACCCACCTGAGATTCATTATAAACAAGCCTGTGTTTTGGGGTCGGAGCATGCCATCCGCTATAAAGTACAATGTCATACTGGCATGTGATTTATTGAGATAACGACTTCACAACGGTGCTTGTTACAGTATTTTACACCCGTGCAATTATGTCCATTGCTCTGCACGGGTCCCATCAATGAGCAAAGATGAAAGGATGGTATGTATTTAAAACGTCATTTAAATAGCCTGGCACGAACAGGAATACGGCAACATTGCCAACTTTTTACACGGCCACCAATGTCAATGAAGTTTAAGCGTTGTTGGTTTGAGTTACTGAAACACCACTGTTACGTTATCTTCGCCAAAGTACTTTGATGATATTTTTGTAGACACGGTCGTGTATTTCTGGTGACGGCATTTTAAACATGAGTTTCATATTTGACGTTGAAAAATAATTGCGTTATTATTGTTTTGACCACCCCCCCCTCCCCCCACCTCACCATTGCCATTTAGTCTGTGGAAGCATCGATATCCGCAACAACATCACCTTGCTGCAGGAGCTAGAGAGCTGCACCATCATTGAGGGCTATCTACAGATAGTGCTGATATCCAATACGAGGACAGAGCATTTCCGAGGCCTCAGTTTCCCACGGCTGAACGTCATCACGGAGTACCTGCTCCTTTACCGCATCTCTGGCCTGGAGACCCTCCGAGAGCTCTTCCCCAACTTGGCCGTGATCCGAGGAACGCGGCTCTTCTTCAACTACGCCCTGGTCGTGTACGAGATGCTCAGCCTCAAGGAGATCGGCCTGCCCAGCCTCACCAACATCACGCGCGGCGCCGTGCGCGTCGAGAAGAACACGGACCTCTGCTACCTCACGACCATCGACTGGTCCCTCATCCTGGACTCGGAGGAGAACAACTACATCAATGGGAACAAGCCCGACCGGGAGTGCAGCAACATCTGCCTGGGGTCAGCGGTCACTGGCGTGGCTACGGGGTCAAGTCACGGCTCTGGTGCGTCTTCGCACGGGTCAGCTTCTGGGACGTCCCAGTGGGACCCGTGTCCTCACACTTCCTTCAATGGGCGAAACATCTCACGCTGCTGGACATCAGAGCACTGTCAGCTAGGTGAGTTATGCCAAAGCTGCTGTGGTATGGAGTGCACGTGCTTAAGGCATTTGCAATGGTACGGGGATGAACTAACAATGCAATGTCGCAAAACCGAAAATGTTTGCAGGATTTTTCATTCTTTTGTTAAAATTATGGTTGCTGAGCACAGGGTCAAAGGCCCCAAAATGCCACTCAGTTGCCAGAAACAAGCTGTGTTATTATTGAAGGTGTAGTGGGTAAGAGTTCGTGTTTCCTGAATTGAAAATGTTTGTTGGAAATTGGGAAAGTAGGCAGTGATACGGAAATTCCCCCCAAAAATCAAGCAGTTTGGGGAAGGAAGCAGAGTATTGTTTTGGCCTGCGAGTTTGGTGGTTGAACAAAGTGTGAATGAGACAACACGTTTGGTGGGATACCGAGTGGTCAACGTGGCGTGGAGTAATCGGTGAAGTTCAGAGGAACGTGAACCCAAGGTAGTTGCGATAAAGAGTGATCTAGAAGCGAATCACTGCTCATCAGCGAGTACAAGATGACATTGGTTGTTGTTTTTTTGTGTTTAAGACATTTGTGTTACTTTGCTTTTTCATAAAATACCGCGCATTACATTTGCACTTTGACCAACAACAAAAAAATCCAGCGATCGGGAAGGTGTTTTCTTTTGCAGACTAAACAATACAGCACTGATGTGAAATGATTGTCTTTAAACAAAGAGTTTTTAATATTATACATTGTTAACCCAAGGCAAGTACTGTATACTGTTGTTCCAAAATTATTCAACTTTATGAAGTTACTTTAAAAAAAATATATGCCCAACCTATGTATAGAGTCAATAACATTTATGTAACAGTAGGTTAAATATCCTCTTGAGTATATGACCCAGGTATTTTTTGTAATCTCTTAAGTATGCCGTCCCGTGATCTAGTGTCTCACAAACCAAAATAGGAGTGTTGGCAGTTGTGCAACTGAACATACATGGTCTGGCTTAATGTTTATCGTAACATTCCACTGGGAATCACACTTGCATTTGAAGAACTGACCAAAGTGGCAATAATTATAGAACGGTGAGGGCACTATATTTTAGATTTTTAAATTCATTTGTTTTTAACTGGAAACTCCGTTAATAATAAAAAAAACTAATTTTGAATACCTTGACATAGATAACCATTGCAAATTATTTAATTAATTTAACTGTCAGGCATGTGTTTCGTTTGGTTAAGATTTCAAAACATGTTTTCGCCTGCTAAAGTATGAAACTGACCATCTGACGCTCAGTCATTGTGTATTAGACACCAGGAAAGAATTCTTCACTTGAATTCAAAACTGGATTCTGTACATGTGGAAATGCTGGTGTTTTGGATTGAGGAAGTTGCTCAAGATGTATTGTTTCGGCTTAATTTAAGCTGGATTGGAAAACTCAAAAATTTAGTTTCAGACTGCCATGAATAACGAAGGGAAGAGTATACATTATTGGCCTGACTAATGCATTCACATACTTTCTATCAAATGTATATTGTTTCACATTTAAAGACAATACTGTAGCGATGAAAAGGCTCCGCATTGCATTTAAGAAGTGCTCATACTATTATGTTTGCACCTTTTATTTGACCACTGCGTACTTTCAGTGGGCGGGCCACGACCATTTTACTTTTCAAGTGGCACTACAAGTAATTATGTTATTTATTCTGGAAAGCCCCATACATCACCCATTGCGTGACCTTTTGCGAGACAGCGTTTTCTTCACTTTCTGTTGCGAATCGTTCGTGAGAGTTTGAATCACCTTCATCCGGAAAAGAGGCGGAACTAAGTTCACAGGCACTTATCAGCGAAGAATACTGTTCTTCTATTATCTACAGAGATGCATCTTAATCATGTGGTTTTTTTTTATCTGCGTGCATAGAAATGTTTTTGTGTGTGTGTGTCGTGGCGGTGGTGGTTGGCTGGGTGTGGTTGCTGGCTGTTATCGTCTTAGGTACATAATCACAAACGGCACTTGTGCCAACAGTTTCTCTAGTCAAACTCCATGTCGTATTGCATGAATGCCCGGTAAATTTCCATGCTTTTTTGTTAAAGACAATGAATCCATAAACCTATAGTGCGTTAGCTAGTCTGATAGGAAGGCATTTACACGGCAGACGTTTTAAATGGTAATAAGTATACCGTACAGTATACAATTTAGACAAAGCTAAAGTACTATACTAACATTGCCTTCGTATCTATTTATCTATTTAATTTATGGAGAAAGTTACGTACGTCGGTAGAACGATATGGCAATCTGAATTATCAAAGTTTTTTTTAAAACAGGGTATGCCTTGTTTTTTTCGTGTTTTCGAGTTTTTGATCAGGGTTAAATGTGGCATTGTTTCATTGTATTTGAGTGATGAATTATCATTGCAGGATTTGTTTTTAAGAAAGCTTGTTAGTGCTGTTGCCAAAATAAATTAGTTTTTGTTCGAATATCTTGTTTGTACTTACCAGGACTAGCGTAATGCATGTTTATTTTGGCACGATAACGTTATAATTAACTCTATAGTACTCTACCAGTGCTTCTAAACCAAGGTTTAACTTAACCCCCTCCCTCCCCTAGGGGGACGTAGTATCATCAGGGTCCTTAAAAACGTTAAGGGTTTTATATAGAAGAGCCCTAGGTGACCCAAACACATGCATAATTGCAAAATACATGTCTAAACTTTTCCAAGTCGTACCGTTTTGGATAATTAAAGCTTGATTTAATGTGCCTAATTATGGTTGACAGCGTTGTAATTCGTGTTTCATCATTCTTGGTAAGATGGGTTAGAGTTGGGCTGTAGCAAAGCATATGTGACTTAAAACACATCTTAATATTCGTTCGTGCGATTGTCCTTACCTTAATGAAATGCATTCTCACACGTTCTCACTGACCACTTCATATTAATTGTATTTACGGGATTGTGCCACTTCAGAAAAAATGCAGGTTTTCTTAGTAGCTCCTCAAACTTGGGAAGTTTCACAACAAGGCATTGCCCAGCTACACAACAATTCCACTGCATCTGACAGAAACAGCAGATGACTGAACATCAACACTCCCACATGTTGTGCACCCGTGGGGCACTCAGAAACCATTGCTGGTTCAACGTTCAGTTGTTATTGTTTTGCAGGCTAAAGCCCCCCTTGTCACGAAAGTGCATTTGTAAAACCCGACAATATCAATGCTTTGTCTGCAGAGAATAACATGTCTGACAGAGCAGCAGAATGAGTGGGTATAGACCCACGTGCACACGATTTCCTCCACGTGCACTTTTGTGCACTTTTGTGCACGTGGGGGCAATCGGAAAATGTTACTTGTTCACTCCATGACTGTGGTGCCAATGATCCAAAACTAAGCTTTGCTTTGTTTTAGTGATTTTACTACTTTATTTCGGTGTCCTGTACTGTAAATGCTCTTATTATGATGCTTATTTACCCAGGAAATAGCTAACGCATGCTGCCTATTTGTAAATGATGTTATCATTGGTCTGTGTTATAAGCCCCTTACAATCAATCTTCGGAGTGACAAATTGGTGTAAATTGGTTCGATGACAATTTATGAAAGGAAATAATAACACTAACTAAGTGTAAACAAAGAGGGAGAACTAAATGTAAGCCAATAGCTCGAATACGTCACTGCATTTGAGAGCTGTTTTTTTCCCCACATACTGTTTACAGAGAGTGAAATTGTTTGTTGTTTTAGTTATATTTGTGTGCATCTATATTATGTGTTCAGTGTAAGCAGTGAAATTACTGTTTATTTTCTTTTGAGGCATCCTGGTTACCAGTTTTTTTTTAAAAACTGCCACGTACTCTACACCTCAGATTTATATGGAAATCCCAGGGTGTTTGCTGTATGCCGGAGCAGGTTGTCGTGTTGTTTGGGCGACTTGGTCCCCTCCATACATTTTTCAAGCATACATGCAAAACGTTTAGCTGAGCAGTGTGTGATAGTTATATGTCGTAGGGTACAAATATTTTTAGCAGCAAGATGAAATGTTTTGTAATGGCATACTGAAGAGATGCCCCTTGGGTTAACGTGCCCACCTGCATGTTGATGTGTGTTAGCCAGTTGATGCGTGTACCTCAGGTGTTCTGCCAAAGTACGGTATACTATACTGTTACTCTACAGTTATATTAAATCCTAAGGTGCAGTTAAATGTATTATACAAATTATTGCATCTGGAGACATTTTCAGAAAGGTCCAGGCTTGGTAGCTGTTCACCGTTGGACTGAAACCAGAGCGGTGGCAGGGAAATGTCACGCGTGTGATGGTACAACACTCGGACTCACCTTGGATAGGTCAAAAACATCTACAGACATCTAATTGCACTGTATGTGACATATGCTCGTTGCATCTCTTTGTGATTCACAGACCCTCACCTATTATTTAGATTGCAGAACGGATACCTTGTATGTGTTTTCAACAAAAGGCACATGGCATGATTTGTGTGATTTTTAAATAGAAATCATTTATTTGTGTGAGGAAATGTTTTGTGTTTAAAATGTTGTGGTGACTGTGAGCATGAAAACGTGTCATTGGAAAGCAGCATCAAAGTAATTGTCCCCCTTCTGCACAGATGTTTACACACCTCCACCAGTCGTAACAAATACCATTGATCTTCCAATTCCCTCTCATTCAGTGCCACGCCAGTACCGATCAACATAAACACAACATAGTACTGTACAGTACTTTCCTCTGTAACGCCCACCTTCATGGTGACTTGGTCCCACAAGTAAATCTGACACCACCTGATGGCCATACCTGTGTATTGCGTATCTTCTGACTTCAGAGTTCTGAGTAGAGTACATTACAGAACAGTATTTTATCATTTTGGCAAGCACTACTACGAGACTAAAATATTTCAATATCCTGGCCGGCTTCATAATTTGACACCTGACATTGTGCCACTGTTATTTGATTAAAAACAGTACTGTAAACAGGGGCAAGAGAAAAAAAACACGCGCAACAAATTAGCTGAAAAAAGGAAATATTTATCTTGAGGGACATAACTGGA